AGGTTGAGAGTCTAGCAATATAATAGATGCAAGTAGTCAAGGAACAAGCAAGACAATAAACACAAATAGTAAAAGAACAAGCAAGGCATTAAACACAGTTCCATGAACACTCCCGTGATCACTGTTTCTAAGGGCTTATCAGGATTACCAAAATATCTGAGCCAACTTCCCTGTCCTAGCCCAAAGTCATTTTCATGTCTGAAGCCTACTTCCTTATTCTAGCCTAAAATTTAGATTTCTGTCTGAAATTACTTCTTTGTTCTAGCTTAAGATTTAGATTCTTGCTTGAAATTACTTACTTGTCCTTGGCCAGTGTCATATTCCTGCCAAGCAGCCCATTTCCTTGTTCTTGGCCCATGTCAGATTCTTGCCAAGCAGCCCCAAAGGCTCTCCACATCTTCCCCTTTTTTTATTTCATTAACAAGACTGAGCTTGTCTTAGTTTGTTCTCACAAGAATGCCTTCCTTACCCATCATGGAATATGCATTATCCAAAGCAATGTACTTCTGTCTTAGGTTGGTAAGGTTCCGTGCAGAATCTTACCCATCCTTGGCTTGCCAGCCTGTTAATTTAATAACTCTGTCTGAGGGTCCATTTTCAGGTTCAAGCCATGTACTTTGGTTGACAACATGTTGATGTTGTTAAAGACAAGCTTTAACACAATGGGCAGGAATAAAAGTATTCCCAGGACAAGAAGGGCTAGTATGATCAAGCTATATATGCCATTTTTGAAGCTTGACCCAAATAGAAATATTGATCTCAGGCCACAGGTAATTTTATCAGCAGCATTTTAGGATTCTTAAGCTTAAATTTCCAAAGGCCACTACATTCATTATTTGTTTAGTCTTCTTGACAAACTAAGGTATGCATTTACATTCTTCCTTGATATTTTCATTCGTTTTTCTTTTTCTTTGTTCTTCTCTCTTTTTTTCACCCTCTGTCTCTCCTTTTCTCATTCTCTCCCTTTCCCCCATCAGCCCAGCTAAACCCCACAGGATTTAATACTACCTTATGCATCACATTCTTCTACTGTTGTTGTGTCCTTGTTGCTTCTGACTCTGTTCTATCTATGCTGCATTGTTTTCCTCACTGTTTTCTGATATATAACTGAGTTCTCTCAAAGCCATGGTTATTCTACAAGAAAACAATCATTAGTACATAGATCTTATCTTTTTTAGTTATATATGTTGTCTGCTGACTCAACTTTCCTGTTTCAGCATCTATCTATCTATCTATCTATCTATCTATCTGTCATCTATTTATCTATTATGTATTTGTCTATCTATCTATCTATCTATCTATCTATCTATCTATCTATCTATGTATGTATCTACGTATCTACGTATCTACCTATGTATGTATGTATGTATGTATGTATGTATGTATCTATCTATCTATCTATCTAATTTGTTATTATATTGAAGAACCATATAGGTATAGAACAATGGGAAGCATATCTGACTGACTTGGTACCTTATGCAGCAGTTTCCCAAAATACTGGATTAAACAGCCTTTACTACTACTACCACATGAATGATCAGGCTGTCCTCAACCATTGAAGTCTACAGACTCAAATGAGTATCATTTACTCTGTTGTGGGTTGCCCTGGTGCTGTTTGTATCCTGATGTTAATTCTCCTTTCTCAAGAGGGGCTGCACCTGATGAGGAGTAGATCATGGCCTCAAGTGATCTCATGTGAATCTTCTCCCCATTCTAACTGGTCAAATAAAGCCGAGAGTCTGTGATTGGGCAGTGGAACAGAAAGGTGGAACTGGAGGTCTTAAAGAGTGGGGGCAAGTGGGGAAGGAGGTGAAGAGGAAAAAAGAGAGAGAGAGAGAGAGAGAGAGAGAGAGAGAGAGAGAGAGAGAGAGAAAGAGAGGAAGGAGGAAGAAGAGGTAGAAGCCAATATAGAGCAGAACCACATGGCCAAGGAAATCTACAAGTAGCAAGGAATTCCTCATAGCTGAGGAATAAGTGAGGGTAGTGATAGATCTGCCCAATCTAGGCCTATAGCTTATAAATATAATAATTGGACTGTGTGTGTTTTTACACGGGCTTATTGGGGTTGGAAATTACTGCAACACTATTCAGCACTGACTACATGGGAATGCATTGTGCTATTGAGCTGTAAAAATCAGAAACTTACTGAGAGATGCTTCAGTTTGGGACCAAAAGGCTTCAAAGGCTTAGAGTCTAATCACAGACTTTGAAGTGACTTGATGATGTGGTGATAGGAAGCTTGGCCTGCAATGGAGGCTGTATTATTTCAGGCTTCACATTTCCATTTCATTGCAGGACAAACATGTCCCCTAGTGCTTTGAGCTATGCACATTATCTTTGCATTCAGAGAGACCAACATTTTCACTAAACCAAAGACCCAACTGATTCAGTTTGTTTTGTGTTCAGGCAACTTGTCTGTCTGTCTGTCTGTCTGTCTGTCTGTCTCTTTTCATTTAGTTGTAATCACAGTGATTTTTATCATTGTTTTTGCTGTTAACAAATTGAATTCTAAGAACAGTAATAGTGTAATTATGTACTGTGGTTGAAGCCATTGTAGTTAACTTCATAGCTATGTAATCTCTCTGTCTTCTGCTGTGGATGAATTGAATGGTGGCTATCCTGCTTTATAAATTCACTGCCTATTCCCTTGAGACAGAGTCTCTCGATGAACTTGGATCTAGGCTGATGAGGACCAAGCACTAGGACTCCTTAAGTCTCCCACTCTCACTCCTATCCACCCCTGACTCACACCTTGTGATGGGGTTACAAGTATTCATGATTATGACAACTTTTTGCATGGGTAATGGGGACTTGAACTCATGTCTTTACACTTGCTCTGAGCTTTCTCCTTAGCATAGGGAAAGTTGTTCCATTTGACCAATAAATATGCCTATAAAATAGGAAATCAGGCTCCAGAAAATGTAAACGCTGACCTTTCTGACCTTTGTGGGAGAGTTAATGCATCAAAATATGCAAACAGGTGCTATATTTTAGCTGCATTCTTTCTCAAGAACTTCCCTAGAGAAGCTTGTTTAACAAAACAGGTCTTCTCTTTCCAGGAACATACTTTGCTGTAAAGAAAACACTTCTTGGAGGTTAAAAGGGCTTTTGTAGGAAGTACTTCATAATCTAATATTGATCACTGTTAGTAACACGTAGTCAAGAGGACATTTGAGCAGTTGAAGTTGCAAGCCATGTCATTGGTATTACATTTAGTTTTGTTCTCCGAGTCAAATGTGTGACTCTGAGAGCCAGTTTTTCGTTCAGCCTTCACAGTTTTTGGAGGATCTAGAGGAAATGCCAAGTTCCAGGGGAATCTGAGGTTTGTCTCAGTAGGCCTACTGACTGTCTCCTCTCCTTTGTGTTCTTGGCATTGGCAGTGGATTTCTGCTTGTGTGTCCTCCTCCCCCACCCCTCTAAAAACAAACCAAGAAGCCAAGTTACCAATCCAGTTTTTATTTCACCAGAGGGAAGAGAGCTTTGTTACTTTTTCCTTATGTTCCCAGAAGAGAAACTAAATACAATCAGTGTGCAAATTTAGAAATTAAATAAAATAGTTTGCCAGTTTCTTCTTTTTTTTTTTACATACTTGTATTCTAAAGAACCGGTGACCTAGTTTAGAAACCAAATAATTCCTCTTACTAAGAATGAAATGTAAGTCTAGGGAGTTAGACACTGGCAAGTGGCTTGAATTCAGTGAGCACCTGTGTGCATTGTCATCTCTGTTCCAGAGCAAGCCTCCTCCCAGTGCCCTTGTTTCCCCTGAAACCCTAGATCTAGAACTTTGCTTTTTTTCTTTTTCTTTTTTTAAAAAAAATGATTATCTATGTGAGATGTGTCTGTGTTATAGCATGTTTGTGAAAATCAGGGGACCACTTAGTGGAAGTGAGTCTCTCAGATTTTACAGGAACTCCAGGGATTGCACTCTAGGCCTGCACATGGACAGCTTTACCCGCTGTACCATCTCCAGTTGTAGAACTTTTAATAAGATTAGGGATGTGGGTACATGTGCCTGCTTCTCCTTGCAGACTGCATCCGTAGAGAGTATGTGTGTTCCCTCACATTACCCACTGCACAATTTTATTACCATATGACCTGTTAATTTAGTGAAGTGAGTGTTGACAGGTACTGGCAGTTCTGTGCTAGGTTGCTGGGGGAGGTAGGTGATAACTTCTAAATTTCCTGAGATGTAATCTTGAAGATCAGTTCCTGTCCCCAGGCTTTGACAACTGTCATATACGTGGGGTTCAATAAAACCAAAGGTAATCAGAAGTTCAGGCAGTCCTAGCATAAGTGACCATGTGACTCACACAGATGTATGTCTCTGACTCTCTAATAACATTTAAAGCATCTTTAGCAAAGATTGAATTTTCCAAATCTTACTAGCTTCCATTAAGACAAGCATGCTCATTGGAATTTGGATTGATGAACAAAAGAAAGCCAGAGCGTTCTATCCCCTCCCCCATTTAAAGTGCTTGTGCATCACATGCCTATAAAGTCTGATGCAAGGTTTAAAAATGTAATGGTAGCCCATGACAAAAAGACATGGTAAGAAACTTTTTTTCTTTTTCCTTTTTCTTTTTCCCTCTGCCTGGTAAGAAGTGTTTAAATAATTTTTAAAATTTATTTTACTTCTCCATTTATTTCCTTATTTTGAATGTATGTATGTGGGCCTATGTGATGTGGATATGAGTACTGGTGTGTGTCTGCCACGACATTTGTGTTGGTGGTCAAGGACAACCTCAGGTGCCAATCCTCACTTCTGGATTGTTTGTCTGTCTTCTGAGACACCACCATATGCCAGACTAACTGGTCTGGAAGCTTCCAGGCCTCCAGCTGTTTCTGTCTTCCAAATGACTGTCTGACCATGAGGACTGCAGACAGGGATTGACAATTCTATCTTTTTTTTACGTGAGTTCTGGAGGTTTGAACTTAGAGCCTCATGCCTGAGCAATAACTGTTTAACTCACTGAGCCATCTCTCTAGGTCCAAGAAACTTTCAAAAGTGGCCGGATCTAGGATGGAGACCTGAGGAACTAGGGATGATGTGACAAATGCATCTGTCTGACCTAAGATGAAATGGAGACAGAAATATGCAAACAGGCACATTTTAAAACCGTGTTGGAAGAAGATCAACATGGGAAGACTTGTACAACCTGAGCCTGAGATCTCTCATACAACTAAAATATTCAAGATAGTGAAAGATTAGTGTATGGACACTTATTAAGATCTGTCAAACAAATGTGGAATCCAGAAATAGACAAACAAATTATATGGCCAATTGCTTTTTGATGAAGAAACCAAGTTATCTTACTTCATCCCCTACTGGGAAAACATGAACTTTGACATCTAACATGATTCACCAAAATTAACTCAAAATGTATCCTACACCTAAATATAAAAACTAAGATGATAAAATTGAAAAAGAAGACAGGAGAAAAATCACCTGTGACTTTGGATAGACAAAGGCTTCTTAGGTAAGACACAAAAATTAAAACCATAAAGTAAAAATTGATATGTAGATCTTATCAAAGTGAAAACTTAAATAAAAACAACCCTACCATTAAGATGATATGACAGGGTGATACAGACTGGGAGAGCACATATGTAAAACACAGATCTTGTAGAGACATTTTGTCCAACACTGTGAACAAAATAATCATTTACCAAGATCCACCAATGACTGGTAGGCAAACAGATCCTTATAGAGCAGTCACTGGTGAAATGCCAGCAAACCCATGATAGGGAATTAAGATGTAATGGTAGTAAACACTGGCAAAGACCTGAAGGATCTCTACATGTGGCTGGCTGAAAAGTCACAGACTGTTGAAACAGGCTACATACCCCAGCTCTCCTACCCCCAGCTTTTCCCAACCAACGGAAATTGAAACATGCCAGCTATTAAGATGTGTACTTAACTGCCGTGGTCGTGCCATTACAAATTACAAACAAAAACCTCCCTCAAAAAACTGAATGACTTTAAATAACACATTATCTATACTTTGTTTTTGGTGGTAGATGCAGAAAATGCATACATTTGTCCAAATTCTTTGAAGGGAGCATTACTGAATTCATTCATTTGGTGATAGTTATACTTCAGTAAAGGTCATTTAAGGATATATAACAAACAACAAACAAGTCTTTATTAATCTATGGCATAAGGCAAGCTTTGACTGTGAATATGCCTACTTTCTTGTACTTATTTAAATCACCCTCCCCCTATTTATGGAAGATGTCAGATTCTGTCCTTTCACCTCAGGGAGTAAAGAAGCACTCCTTTGTATCTTGAAAAAGGTTTCTTCTCTTCCTTTTCATGTATTTGCTTTTTCCAGATACACAGTCTGTGGTGACCTCTGGTTGTAATGCACTTCTTGATTACTCCCAGGTAAGTGTCTTCCCTCCAACTCTGTGGATGGAGTGCTTGGACAATTCTGATTCAGAGTCAAGCCAGAGTGTGCCAGAGAGCGAACCTCCATACAAAGAGCAAGAGGGAGACTGTCCAGATGCTCTCAAGTTAGCTGATTGGTTGGCCTCTCTCTTCCTCCGCATTCCTGGTTTTGTAAGCCACTAAAATAGTAATCTTTCTGTTTTTCTTAAGTGAGTTAAAATGGATTTTCTTACGATTCCAACCTAAACAACCCCGACAATTAAAAATTCAGATTTATCCTTCATCATGCTCCCTCTTGCTTTTAGGGGGTAGTTTCCATGAGAACCATCCCTGATCTGTGCAATATTTTCAAGTTGTCACTGTCTCATCTTAGTCAGATTTCCATCACTATGACGAAATACTTGATATATAAATAGCTCTTAAAGAAACAAGGTTTACTTTTAGACCCTGGTTTCAGAGGTTTCAAACCATTGTCACTGGGGTGGGATATCATGACAAGAGCATGTGGAATAGTTTCTGGGTACTCATAGTAGGTAGGGGTCAAAAAGAAAGATAGGAGACAAATCCCAACATGCCCCAGTAACCTAATTTCCTTCCATTAGGTTCTGCCTTCCAGAGGTTTCATTGCTTTCCAATAGTGCCTAAGCTGAAACCAGGTCTACAACATATGAGACTTTGGGATACTCTGAGGATCCAAATGATAACACCTGTCTAAATGAACATGCCTGGGCAGTAGACTCCAGATAGAGACTTGCCTAGAATATTGGAACTCTGATCTACTTTCATCTTCTTTTCTTCAGTCTTGGTTCATGTGACAGAATTGAGGTAATAAACATTTTGGTAACTTGCTTCTTACCTTATATTGACTATGAGGGAATATAAATTGACTTAGATTTTAAAATATAAAGTATCATTAAGTTGGTGGCCCTTCATTTAGTGTTCTTGCTAATACAGAGGTGATGTTTCATCACCTTTATTTACTTATATTTATTGATATTTGACTTATTTCTGATTTTTAAAGTCCTCTTTTTGGTATTTAAGGTTGCAATCTTTAGCCTACAAACTAAAACTATACTTCTGTTTTGTTTTATTAGTTTAGAAAACAAAGTGGCAAAAATAATTTTTTTAAGTGTATATTGTTCATGGTGTGCTTTTAAAGCAATCACTGAAGTCTGGATCAATATTTATTTGGAAACTCCCAAAGACTGTCCACCTTGCTGTAGACAGCTGGTTCTCTTTTATGGTCCCTAGAAAACTGTTCATTACCGTTGTTTGGTACCTCCTCCATCCTGCAGGGTACAAGGAAGACACTGATCTTCTCAATCACTTCTTCAGTGCTTCCAGCGGTAATTTGGGGAGTGCCACCCAATGGCTTCCACTCATTTGAAGCTACTTAACCTTCTCTGCATGTCTCCAAATCTCCCCAGGGCTTCGGTTTCTCCCAGTTTGAAACACATTATCCTTGACACAGAAGATAGAAGCAAAATGAAAACGTAGTTATTAACTTCCCACATTATTTACATGACTAAAACCCTCCTCGGCACATCGCTGTCCCTTGTGGGTGACAAGAACAGATAAGGTAGGAATTCTAGTTTGCTTTTCTGTTGTAATAAACACCATGACCAAAAGCAGTATGGGAGTGGAAAGTGTCTATTTGACTTACGTGGCTAAGTGATAGTCCATCACTGAGGAAAAAGTCAAGGCAAAACTGAAACAGGAACATGGAGGCAGAAACTGAGGCAGAAAACATGTAGAAATGCTGTTTACTGGCTTGCTTCCAGACTCATAACCACCTACCTTTTTATATGGCCAAAGCCTACCTGCCTAGGCATGGCACTGCCCACTGGGCCTTCCTACAATAATTAACAATCAGCAAAATACCCCACAGATATCCTCACAGGCAAATGTGATAGAAGCAATCCCTTAATTGAGGTTCTTCATTCTTTCCAAGTATGTCAAGGTGACAACAGAACTGGCCAAGGCAGAGGGAAAGGTACATGGCATAGGGTAAAATAGTCATAAACATTTGGCACAGCTCCAAATCAGGTTTTGGCAGGATTTGGCAAATGCCATTTCTGCAAAGTTCTCCAGTGCCTACCCTACTGCTGCCTCTACAAGAGGAGAGGGGAAAGGCTTCACTTCCACAGAAAGACTATCACAAAATCCTAGAAACTGAGGGTTGTATAGCAAGAATTCCTGAATGGATTCCTCAATACCAAAGAGATGGATGTAAGGAAGACCTGAGAACCGAAGTTCAAGGAAGCCAGTAGTTAGCAGCAGGCCATTGTATCCTTCAATAACTGGTGGGCACTGGAATAAGAATGGAGCAGAGGGGAACTCTAGGAGTGAATGACTTCTCCCAATGCTGGCCCCTCCTCAGGAAACTGGACCAAAGTTCATCTCACACAACTTCCCTCAGCCAAAGGTTATATGATCATTAAACCTTTAAACACTTGCCTGAGAAAGCTCCGTTTACTGTGTATTCCCCCAAAATCCTAGTTGTGTGCCCCTGACTTCCTCTTTTCCCATCATGTTTACCCGAGAAAACTGAGTTGTAAGTTCTTTCTTCTATCCCTTTGAAAGATATCTTCTAGTCTAGTCATCTTTCTTCAGGCCCTAGAGTATAACCATCCAGGGCAGGGTCCCTGTTGTCAAGTCTCAATGAGCGAGTAAGGCCCATTGGCAGAAAGACAGAGGGCTAATCACACTGTCAGTCTCTCTTAGTTCCTTCAGCTCATTCTATTTTGAAGGCTTCTTGGCTTACTTAATTTTACCAGAGTGGAGGGGGGTGGGCTACATACCCCTCTTCTGGGTACTACAGCAAAGTTCCTTAGATGACATCATTCATAACAACAGACATTTACTGCTCACCACTCAGGAGGCTGAGAAGTCCAAGATGAAGGATGTAGTTGACTCGGTGCCTGGTGGAGGCTGCTGTTGCTTAAAGAGGACACCTTACACATGTATGGCAGAAGGGACACAAGCTTGTTTATGTGCCTTTGTAAGAGCACTAATCTCATTCTCAAGGGCATTTCCATTAGGACTTAGTCACTGCCTGAAGTCCCCTTCTTATGATTTCAACATAAAAATTTTAGAGGGACACAAACATTCAAACCAAAGCTCTATAGAGTTCCAGGGCCTAGGGTAAGTCAAAAGTATGGAACCACAACCAGTAGAAGGTTGTTGGGCTGTGAGGGACCTAATATAGATTTCACGCCAGGGTGTCTCCTGGAGCTAGAGAGGTGAGATGTTATACCTGACCCTGAAGGTCCAGGGCAGGACAGCTTCCATCTTGAGTGGCCTTGGGCATCTGTCTGACACTATCTCTTCCTGTCTGTGCTGCAGCTGTTGGCTGAAGGAAGCTGAGGTAGGACCAGGAACCCATCTCAGGGAAGTGAAGAAGCATCAGGAAGTGGGATTGTGGAAAGCGAAGCTGTGAGCCTCTCTCATCATCCACATCCAGTGGGTGGACAAATCACAGGTTCAAAAGCAAACTTATTAAGAATGCAACATGTGGGAGAGTGAGGCAGGAGGATAGTGGTGAATTTGAAGCCATACTGTGAGACTGTTTTCTCAATAAACCAAACTGAACCAACCAACCAACCAACCAACCAACCAACCAACCAACCAACCAACCATCAAACCAACCAAATAAAATCCTAAAAACCAAATAGGCGAGGAGCTTGGAAGAAGGCTCAGGGTAAAGTACTTGTAAGCCCGAAGGACTGAGTTCAGTCTTCAGAATCCATACAAAGAGTGGCTTTTGCCTGTAAACCGAGCACTCCCCTGGGGGAGAGGCAGAGACCGAACAACTGCCTGGAAGCTCACTGGCCAGCTTGCTGCAAGAAACACAAGGTTTCCTGCCTTATAAACAAGTGAAGGGAAAGAACAGCCAACTCCCCAAAGTTGTCCTCTGACTTCCACAAACACATTGTAGCATGTGCTTGCTCCTCACTTATTAAGTATGTTTTGAAAATTCAGAATGGGGCTAGAGAGATGACTCAGCAGTTAGCAGTACCTGACTGCTTAGCTGAACTCAGGTTCAGTTCCCAGCTCCCACATGGTGGATCACAACCATCTGTAACTCCACTCTCTCTAACCTCACGTCAGGCATTCGTGTGGTGCACATATATAACACATAGGCAAGATACGCATACCATCAGAAAATATGTCTAAAAAAATTCAATAGAATCCATTTCTGAAAGCAGATCTCTGTACAACTGCCCTGGCCTCAGGCCCTCACAGGCTAAGAGTCAGTATCAAATGGGAGAAAGGAGTCTCTTACACCAGCCAGGTTGAATAGACAACAGATTCTGCCAGGTAGATTGAACACTAGTGGGAGAGGGCTCTGAAAGGCAGACTGAGGAGGCAGACACTCTTATAGGAACTGTTCGAGAGCAGAGAGAGACACGGTGAACTTGGCATCTTAGAAGGATTAATTTCCAGTGAGTTGTCCTTCAGAAGCCGATGCCTTTCAATCCTCTCTTTCTGTTGTTTTCAGACATAAAACTTGAAGGAGTGCTCTTTTTGCATCAAAGAAGGGCCTTGCCTGGGAGGCCTCTTCACTGGCTTTTCCCTATTGTCTCCTGCACAACATCTGCTGGAACTTTTGACATTTTGCTCTTCCTTGCCTCTAGATTTTAATGCCAACAAATTAATGTGTAAGATGCCAGCAGAAAATGACTTTCATGGGGCAGAGTGACCTTGTGTTTTCGGTTGGGAGGAGAGGAAAGCATCAGACACACTAATTGCTGAATTATAATGAACCTTTCTATGATCCTTTGAGTCTCTCAGAGGAGTCAAAACAAAATGAAATTAGAGCAGTAATATCAAGCAGCCAGCCTTGCAGGGAGACAATAGGTGGAGATAAAAGCCAACCTCGACCTCCCTGAAAAGATGGGGAGGTGACACGACTTCTTATTTGAAGCTCTGTTAATGGTTTTTTATTGGTGTTTCTGTCTTAGCAGTTTGTGAAAATAGACACATACGTGCAGGAGGCACACATGTACTCATGCATGCTCACACATTCTACAGATATCACACACATATAAGAAAGACCTTTTTATTTTTTTGGCATTTAAAAAAAATTTTCATATACTTACATAATTTCCCACTTCCCTTTCCTCCTTCCAACCCCCCCCTCTACTCCTCCTTACTCTCTTTTAATGACCTCCCTTTCTTTACATGTGTGTGCTTGTGCATGTGTGCACATGTATGCAAACACACATGCATATGACTCTTAAATATATAAATACAACTTGCTCACTCCATACAATGTTATCTGTATGTGTGTGTTTTCATTGTTGACCTTTTGGTATTAGATAATCAGCTGGTGCACTCTTCCCTAAGGAAGATTATTTCTCTTGCTCTCAGCATTCCTTAGTTGCCTGGAGGTTTGTGTGTAGGGTTGAGACATGGGCAAATGAGCTTTCCCACTTCCACATGAGAATGTTTATTGATGGGGTCTACATTCAGGGCACATTTAAGCAGCCATGTAGCACTACTTTCTGGGTATAACTGATGATATTTCTAGGGGACACAATCTTATTTCAAACTTATTGTTCTTCTGCTTCTTCTGTTCTTTCTACCCCTTCTTAAGGATTTCTGAGCCTTAGGTGCAGGAATTATATTGTAGATGTGTCAGTTGTGTCTGGGCTTCATAACCTGCATTTTGACCAGTTCTGGTTTTCTGTAATGGTCTCCATCTGTT